ATAAAAGAAAAAGAAAAAGAATGAATAAAAATAAAAGTAATTAAAAACAATGTGTATCCAAATTAATAATATGATCTTCATTTCATATCTAATCTAATTAGCGCAACATTAAGAAGTATTAAATGTAGATCTGTGTTAAATTCTATATGTTATGCAAGAAAATGATAAACATAACACGAAAAAGGATAAACATGATACAAGAAATTACAAGAGTATGTGAAAATTGTTACATCATTGAGTCATAAATTTGAAATTGAATCAGTAATTTAAATCACGAAATCTTTTGAACATGATGGTATTATAATAATGATATAACAATAAACTAATTAATATTTAATAAATTTAATAAATAATAATAAATAAATAATAATAGTGAAGTACATGGTTAATGTTATTTTTTATCTCTAATTATTATATATTTAAAATAAAGTAATCATAATATTTATTATATTTGTTCAATTATTATCAAGTTTTAATTATTCAAAGAAGTATATTATGTGAAAACAGAGTGTAACAAGTTAAAATGTTCTATATATATTATATAAACAAAAAAATACTTGTTATATTTGCAAAAAAGTAAGCTTGAATTGCAGTTATCACATTCAAGAAAGATAGTAACAGTTCAGTTAAAGTTCTTCATTGAATTTTTTGAATTTTAATCACATAATTTGCTTTAAAATAGAAGGATAGCATTACAAATAGAATATAAGTATAGAGATATTTTATTATTCTTTGCTCTAGTAAGAGATACCTTTAAAAGAATTAAAAAAATATCAGAAAATAATGCCAATATATGTAAATATTCTAATCTAAGGTATAAACAGCTTCATGAATAGAATACGAGATAAAAATATTTTATTATTCTCTATCTCAGTGAGAGATACCTTTAAAAATATTGGAATAGCAGATCTATTATGATATAACAGGCAGGATACCTAGAAAAGAGTATCTAGAACTTGATTTCTCTCTGACTTCATGAGTAAATATATGCAAATATTCTGATCTAAGATAATCAGGCTTATTAACTTACTTAATGATTTAGTTTGAGAGAAGTTCCATTATTATTTGTGAGGTTAAACTATCAGTTAGATAATTTTATTATTAGTTAAATCCTTTATACAAGTAGATGTACTTTAGAAGTTATTTTCATTATCAAAACAAAAGAATTAAAATAGATTTTCTACTAAGACTTATTTAGAGTAGAGTTTTTTTATTAACTTTTGATAAAATATTAGTTTGTAGATACTGATAGAATTATCAAATTTGAAAATAAAGTAGTTCAACTAATTCAATCTTAAGGGAACTTTTTTTTAGAGATTAACTATTAACTTGCTTTTGTCTTATTTTAGATAAACAAAAAAGATTGCAATACAAATTATTAAATCAAAATTCACATATTATGTAAATGTTTTGATTTAAGAGGTAACTAGATTTACTTAATTATGATTGAGAAAAAAATAATCACATCAACTTTAATTAACTAACTTGTAATTTTAGATAGATGAGTAATATCATTATAATATATATAATTTACTGAGTTTAACTTGAAATTAAAGCTCAGTTACTAAGTCAAGCAACTGAAAAATCTTAATATTTTGTTATTTATTCAATTTTAAAAAACTTCAATAATCAAAACACCTATTTTTAATAAAAATTCATCCAGTCTGACAAAGATCCAGAGCATAAAAATCTTGGAAATTTCAAAATTACAGAGCAAGTTTAAAATGATTTTATATATCTTCTATATTCTTTATAATAGATCTCCTTTATATTAGAGATTAATTAAAATCTCAGTATATTTAGATTAGCTATAATGAATTTTGAGAATTTTTCTAATAAATATTTTTGATGCTGATATACTACAATGAGTCATTGTGTTAACTACCAGTTAGGTCAAGTCATAAAACATTTGAACTAGTTAGTTAACCAGTTAATATTACATATTATAATGATAATTGGTTCATTTGTAAAATTTATGTATATTAACAATTAGTTCCCATAATTATATAAAGTGTTATTTTAATAAAGAATTCTGTGTGCAAATATCAAAAAAATAAATTTCAAAGTTGAAAAATGGAAATATCCACAGAAATTTGTCAAGGAATTAAACAGAGAATTTTTATTCAATTGTTTAAGCCAATCAAGAACTTTATTAAGAAATTATGCCAATTCTTTGGGAAGCACCTTTTATATTTGCACTTTGTGATACAAAATATGAAGATATGCTAAGAGTTTATAAATGTATTGTAACAGTTTATGTTTAAAATTTCTCGAAAAAAAATACGTAGTCGATGTTTAATTATGCTTCCTTTTTATGTCATTATAATTTAACAAATGAAGCAGCAAATGCATGATAAATCAAAACTCGATTTTTCTGACTAATGAAACAAAAAGCATTGATATTTTTCTTGTTCAGGCTTTTAATTAGCTTCTTTATATGTTTTAACTAAGGACTTTATTTTTGACCAAGAAATCTGAACCTAATCCCTAAAGAATGCACAGTTCAAAATCATTTGAAAATCTCAAGGAACTGAAAATCTACGAAGTTTCATTAATTAAGTTCAAACTTTTAAATAAAAATCCCAACAAATATACAGTCAAAACTAGTGCTCGAAACCAACCCTAAAACTAGAAGCCGACTTGGCCAGCTGCTGGTGTGTCTCGGCCATCTACTTAAGCAACTGGCTGTGCACACTTATTATATGTTTGTTGCTCATTCTGAAATTTCTTTTCATCCCTACAATATATTACGGAAATTTCCAAAATGAATTAGTCACTTTGGAACCCGATATCTCGACATCCGGTGATCCCATTCGAACAAAGATATTACCATTAGATTTGTATAGCCGAGACGAGTCTAATGGTAATATCTTTGTTCGAATTGGGGTTCCAAAGTGACAAATTCATTTTTGAAATTTCTGGTAATATATTGTAGAGGTGTGTATGGTTTTCAGCTTAGTAGCTCAGCTCCGTCCCAGCCATCCATTGAAGTCTTCAAGCTGATTAGCTGTCAAATTCACAAAGCCGGCTGGCTAGCCAGCCAGCTGCTAAATGGTTCCGAACACTAGTCAAAGCTAGATATAACAAAGGAGGCTGGGCTCTTAGTAAAAATTTTCGGAATCTTACTATACTTTTTATAAGCTATTGGAAATTCAAACTTCGTTATATCGAGATTTGAATTACATGTACTTCGTTATATCCAGAGTTCATTATAACCGGTTTTTTGACTAAAACATTTAATCATGTGCTAAGAAAGTTACACAAATCTTATTTTTGAATATTAGTTAGTTTATATTGTATTTGCAAATTAAAATCTTTTTTGGTCATAATTATTGTAATTGGGCCTTCGTTGAAGTGGACTTTACTGCAAGGATTTGTGCAATCCGGTGTAGTCAAATTTCAAAGTGAGCTATCATATGCACAAAAACATCAAATGGGTTGGAGTCAGTAGAAAAGGAACAAATTACTCTAGTAGATTTGTCCCTTTTCTACTGACTCCGCTCCAAATATTGAAATAATTATCAATAATCAATACAATCTATATTTTATTTGGTTATATGCGATTGCGCTGAATATGTGAAAAAGGTAACAAAGATCGTACTCAACATCTGCATACATCCTTGATTGTTGCATTTAAGCTAATAAGCTAAAGAAAATGTGCTTTTGATATAATAGCTATTAACAGTCAGTTAGTGTAATACTAAAAAAAACCATTCAATCCAACTGCACGCGCAACCTGGGAATAACAAAATTATGAGCATTCACTGCTTGTCGCTTCGCCTCAACCCATTGATCTTCACTCTGCACGACATGCTGATTACATGTATTACCGTTACCTGTTATTCGATACTGAATGACAGAAGGTGTGATGGACAATCGACTTTGAACACTAGAAATAAAGTCTCTTAAAGATCCATCTTTTGGGAATAAGAGGATTCGTTGAGAGATTGGCGTCACGCAGGTAACGTAAATCTATATAATTCTTTCTTTCGGTTAATTTCGTTGAGATTAACATAGAAATGACAAAATAACTTGAAACGAGTAAATCTACCTTTTCGTTAACGTCATCTAAATCCAATGGTTCATTCTTGATTTTATGCTGCTCGTACCAAATTTTGTTAATCGCCATTTCGACAATACTCAACTTTATCGAACCTTCATATTCACATGGTTTAAGTTGAAATGACAAGGTGCCATTCATTAAGCCACCAGTTGGATCTTCAGGCATGCGAGAAGAATTTGGGCAGTGGAAAGTTGTAGGATGATAATAATACTATTCATTAAATTAGGGAATAAATGTTAAAATTGTCAAATAAATCTATTATCGTTATTTAAATACGAGCGAGCTACTCACAGAACATTGAAAGTTTGGCAACATTCGTACAGAAATTACTCGCCCATCGACAAGTACAAATCCTGTCACTTCTGTCATCGGAATTCTCACTTCATTCTTCATTGCATTCAAGAACAGAGAAATATGGCAAGTATGGAATTGAAACATGAACGACAAATTTGATTTTTTCACGACTTGCCCTTCTTCTTTTTCTTCTCTGAAATCCGCTTTGATAGTACGAGTATTTAGCCGATAATGCAATTCTGCTTCGATTAAATCAACTTTAATTGCAAACGTATGATAATCCAATTTTTCGTCTCCGTTTCCATCTTCCTCATCGTTGTTATCATTGTCGTCCTGAATGTCGTTATCATGTAATTTTTGCTCTGCGACAAGTTGCTGTCGTTGATGCTGTTTATTATTTTTGTTTAATTTCAACAAGTCGTCGACAGGAACAGCGTGAATTTTTGATTCCTCTTTATTAATATCGGAAATATCGAAATCGATCAAATTAAAGGTAGTAGAAGCAGAAGTAGTAGCAGCAAGAGAAAGAGAACGATCGTCAGTGATTAAATCAAGTTGAGCATTTTGAGCTGAAAAAGAGCCGAGAAAATCGAACTCCAGTTCTTCATTTCCATCATTTGATTCATCAAACAACTTTCCGATTACTTCAAAGTCTTCTTGTTTGAGTGAATCTACTCGATCGTCTGTTTGAATTCTTTGAGTGATGATGGCTGGTTGAAGTGGTTGATAAGACGACATGAATTTCGGTTTCGATGCTTTTGTATCTTCAAAAGAATTATTATTCGTATATTTAGGTGCAAATAAATTCACAAAGAATTTAAATGTTAAAGATACCTTGCGGGATTACTCGTCCTTGAAGCTGTTGTTCAGCTAATATGAAATATATATGACGTGATGCGATGAAACCGTGACTGATGAATCTTCAAAATTTATGAGATAATAAAAAATATATTCACACCCAAAGCAGTCGTAAAACTATCTTCAGATTCACATTCGGAAACATCACTGTATTTAGTATCCATTTGTTGCCTAAGTGAAAGGAAATAAGTGTATAATAATAAAATAGCAATAGCAAGAGAGTGTGAAGGGGAGTGAATATCTTCTGCTTACTAATTCCCTTTGGAAAATAAAAAATTGAACATTCGGTATAAAAGAAATAAAAGAAACTAAATTTATACCGATATTTATTAATCGTGTTTTGATTCGAAGTTTGATTTAATAAATTCCATGGTTATAACGCGCGCGTTTGATCTATGAGAAAAAGAGGCACACAAAGAACTCGGACTCAGTAACCATTCTGCAACCACAGTACATAATTTATGTAATAGCAAAGGCTGCATATTAATTTGGTCTCGCGCACAGGTCATAGATCAAAAGAAATAATGTGAAATTCATTTTGGCTTGGAAAAAGGACAAAAAAAGCTTTTTAATTTCTTAGAGCGTGTTTGTTTGGAGATTTTCCGGTTTTTGTTTTTGTAATTGATAAAATGGTCTATAGAATTCTACTAGAATATTATCCATTTTTTCGACGGCATTTACAAAAATTATTGTGTTAGATACTTTGATAAAAATATAATATAAATTATCAATTATACATAAATTATAAAAGCATAAAATATATATTTAGACAACGAGAACTCATTTACTCATATCTGATCCTTCATCTTCTCAACTCCTTCCATCGTTAGCTTGTTTCTCTACACGTTTACCATTCCAATTGTAGTAACAGTGTCAATATTGTCAGTTTTCTCTTCGTCTCCTTTTTCTTTCTGTTTTACTTTATCGTTCTTTACAAATTTCTTTTTCTTCTTTTTATCAGATTTCGAAGAGGAAGAAGGGTTCATACCGAATGGCAATCGAGTCCGCATTTGATCTCGGCCAAATTTTATGGTCGTCGGTATAGTGAGCTTTGCCATCGACTCGGTTAACATCTCAACATCTTTATCGGTGTCTTCATTTTTATTATGATTCCTAATTGGAATCTCGACGGATGCCGATGATGCAGGCGTGGATGTGGATGCGATGGTTATAATTGGTTCTGCTGTGGGATTCTCATTTTTATTTTTCATTTCATTCTCTCTGAGAAGATGTGAAAACAATAATTTAAGAATTTTATTATCAATATATTTAATTTATGATATATTTTGATTTAATGACTTGCCTTTTCTTTTTCCTTTTTGCTTCTTCCGCTATTCGAACATTAAATGGCAAATGTCCAAATTTCACGATCCCAAAGTCAAAAGTATTTGGATAATGATGCTTATCAATCAAATGCAATTTCCTCATTTTCGGCGCACTAAAGAACTTTTGACAACCTTGAACGTAGCATTGGTGCTTTAAACAAAATCATCGATTCACAATTAAAAATGGCAAACATCAAACCAACCAATGAAAATTCGAGATTAAGCTCAAGCTTACAATTTTTTGACCGTTCTCTTTACGAATCTGTGCCAACACATCATGAAACTCTGTCAAGTGCATATCTAACCACCGTTTCGTCGGAAACACAGCTTGACATTCGCTACATATGAAACGATGATGTGAACTATAGTGGATTTCGAATGCGGTAATCGATGGAAATTCGGTTGGATGCCGTTGACAGTGTGGTGGTAGATGACATGCTATTGGACTATATATATAATTAAAAGATGATGAATATTTTATGCTTTTCCCTTCCAAGCTAACTAACTAACCCACCCTTGATGTTCCTTCTTCAAATTACCATTATTGATGTTGTTGCTGTTATTTAGATCAATTTCGTTATCCGTGAAATAATTATCATTGTCGTCGTCTAATGCCAAATATTTTTGGGGCGGTCCATCGCCATTATCATCAAAGATTTGTAGTTCTAGTGTTTCAGGATCTTGAAATATTTTTCTTTTATGTGAATAGGAAATATCCGATGGTTGCTCTTGTTCGACTATTAGGTCTGGTTCTAGTTGTTGTTGTAGTTCTGTCTCTTGTGGCTCCATAACAAAATGAAACTGGGAAAACGAAATGTGTGAGAAATTTTTGTTGTTGATGATCAATTTATACATGTACATCAATCATGTGTAACTACGTACGTTCGTACTATTGACGTTACAGTTAGCAGAAAAATATGCCTTTATTATATTACACTTGTACATGTATATTAAAATAAAAATAAGAAAACATATAATTTATCTTGGAATACATCAATGATAAAGTTTAACTACAATTTTTTGCATTTTTTTATATTTGTGAAACGCCGCTTTGATACCTGTTTAAATTCAACTTGAATACATGTGCAAGTATCTTCACTATTTAATTAAAAAAATCATTTGTTGTGCGCGCCAAAAAAGCCAGATTCATTGACTTGGTGAAATCATTAACTTGAAATTCTACAACTATTGTCACAACAAAAGATGAAGACTTTTTCATCTGTTATTGTATCCATTGCTCACCGCCTTTGATATCGCTGTCTTACAATCACTTGCCTGTGAATTCTCTATCGTATTATCATGTGACTTTCATATGTGGAAACACAAGTAATTAACGTTAAGTAATGTTGCTGTCCTTTTCATTCTTGCACAACGTTACATTATTCAAGGTTGTCTTCTTGTTTAATAGTGTCGTCGTCGTCGTAGTTCTTTTCACGAAGCTTGACAGAATTGGAAGATTTTAAATGGCTGCTTTTGATATATAGAGCTGGAAATTGTGTTTTGTTATCCAAAGATATCTCGTGGAAGCCATTTTCTCGTAATTACCAACGTCAATGCAGCAAAGCTTTAGTTACGCATAATTATAATCTGTGCTCGGTTCGCGATCACATGATAACAAACCAATAAGAATGCGCAAATCATATGTGTGCCGGCAACTATTTTATCGTTTTGTGTTAGGGTAAGGGTTAGAGTGGAGAACAAGGTTATATGTAAAATTGCCTCCCGACATTTTTATTAGAGCTTCAAGTTAGATTTAGACATCTGCTTCCCGTATTTTTATTTTTTTGTCGGATTTGTTTTGCCGGGCTGATCAAAAATTTGCGTATCCTTATTGGTTTGTCATGTGCATGTGATCAGGAACCAAGCACAGATCATTCTCCTCACGTATTGAACACTTGTTTTTTTAGCTTCTGGTAAAAGAGCGGGTTTTTGTTTGGCGCGGATTGCAATGAGGAAAGCTTAAGCGCCAACTCTGGGGACACCCTTTCGATATTTGTTAGTATAATAAACGAACCTCTAGTAAAGCATCATAGTCGTAATAAACGAACCTCTAGTAAAGCATCATAGTCGTAATTGGACGCATATATGGTGGTGGTGTTGTCCGACTATCGGCATACGTAATTCGAAATATAATTCGACTCCCTGCCGATAGGGGTCTCAAACTTCTACAAAAGTAGGTTTTTGATGAAGGTCGCAAGAAACTTTGGACTCCGAATGACTTAATTTTGAAAGTGATCTGGTGACTAAAAAGAATATTAAATATCCTTTTACTATTCTAAAAGCGTCCTGTAATTGGCGTAAACGAAATATTACTGTAAACCTGTATGATTTACTACGGTCAGTTTTTTCATGTCGTAAAATACTTGCTACTCCCTTTTTCTTTGTCAAGGTGATGATGAAAGATGTACACACTTGCTATCGACCAGAAAAAAAATAATCAATACATTAATAATTCGTATGCCAACAGAGTGAGTGGTAACAACGCTCCTTGTCTACGGGAAATATCTTCCAGTCTGGGTTTCGGCATGCTGTTTGAATCGTAAGAAGGTTTGACATCATAAAAAGACTATGCGTGTGTACATTCTTTGACAAATTTTAAGGAATTTTGAAGTTCAATTAATGTCAGAAAGACGTATTAATTATTATATGTGTCACAGAGTACCTGCCTGCATATGGAAAAAATATGAGCTTGTAATAAAAACCGCCACTTTAATCATAATGACTAAAAAAAATGATCTTGGGAGAATTCATCACGAGGTTCTAGTATCCATAATAAAAATATTTCTCTACGAATATTGCTGCATTGTGTTGATAAAGAGCTAAGGCTTAAGGCGTACTGACCGACTATTACCATATTTATTTTTATAAATGTCGTAATTACAATGACGATTGTAATTTATGTCATATTTGTTGCATGAGTTTTTTTTACTAAAGTGAAATTGATATATAAACCTTTCCCACATCAAGCCCTTTTTTTAATCAAGCAAACACCAAATCTTACACATAATCACACTCCATTAATCAAAATCCATTTTTACGGGACAAAATATTATTTCTTTATTTTTTTGAGTATTTACAATACACACCATAATGACTAGCCTTCATAAACGTAACGAAGAACGAACTCACGAAGGTTCGTCGTCCTATTTTCCACACTACTATATTGAATAAACACGTTTGACTTTTTGTCTTTTCTTTATAATAGAAAATCAAGAACGTGCCTTCATCGCAGCGAGTCATCGAGGCGTAAGTTTTCTATACGTATAATGGGATGATCGCTTCTGCAACCAATTAGGAAACAATAAACCGGGTGCAGCAAACATGCTAATTATACTCTCATTTCTATAAAATGCAAACGCGTAATAGGATCGAAGTTTAGAGGCTCGCATGGAGTCTGCACGAAAAGCTTCTGAAGTTCACAAGAAAAGAACCGGAAAAGCGCTCAAAATAACCGAAGAAGATGTACGAAATGAAGAAATGTATCGTGAGGTCGAACCCGAAGAAGACGTCAAGTTGCAACAGTATCATCATCGTGAAGTCGGTACCCAGGGCAGAGGCACCACGTTTAACGAGGCAAGAACCAAGTGACAACTCCAAGTCATGATGAATATCAATGATGTAAATGGGAGGAAGTTTACAATTACAATAATTGCAATAGTTAAACATTAGTTAGCTTTAATTTTTTAATTTCTTTCTCTTCTCTTCTGTCATTATCTCTAAAAATGTTTATTTAAACCATCCATTCCTATCACTACAAATAAAGATCTGCCTACCTATAGTTTACATTGGGTTTGGCGTTTGTGCGTGGGAATTACATACACAAACAAAAATGTAGCAATAAAATACGGCAATCAATTTTCTATATAAAAGCAGTTATACACGCCATTTTCTCAAGTTCCTATTAATAATGCAATTGCTCGAGTGTATCCGTCGAACGCGAAGGTTAAAAGATATTGCAGTTTTTACTGGGAAGGTGATTGACCACAAGTTATAAAGCGACTCAGTGAAAAGAATATAATATGACGCTTTGCAGTATTCCAGAGGTGACATTGGAGGATCAAGAAAAAAATTGTGAACTCGGCTCGGTCTTGATATGGATTTCTGTCGTATTAGGGCGGCGTTTTTATATGATACGTGAGGTAAATCACTAATGGCATTGAAACTCGAAGTATATCGAACGGTACCTTTCTCGACGGTAGTGCGCATATAAGAGATTGAATCCCGTGTTGCGGTAGGACTGGCATTGTTTCGTTCTTTGGTGATCGTTTCCTCAAAATCCAAATTGTCCGAGCTATTCGCCGTAATTAAATAATACAAGTGCAATTTATGATACTGGAAAATCTGAACGGAATGACGAAGCTAGCTTGGCGTACATGAATCCAGTTTTGATCTGTATATAAATCTAAAATAAAAATAAAAATTTCAAAAAAAGCGAAACATTTATTTACATTTAGATTTCTCGTATATATCAAACAAGGAAAGTTAACGTGTTCACATAAACATATATGAAAATTATTTTCTTTTATTTAAAGTATGATACATATATCTATTTATTCACTTGAATCAAATTCTATGGGAAAGATTCATTACACACACTAATCTTTCTCATCGTGGAGAATCTTTATAGTGTGATGCTGAAGTTCTTTGACACTAATATCATTTCCACCACGTTCAGCTTTTACCTAAATCAAACGAATGATCAAATAAATCAGTTTTTGAACCAACAAGATAACCGAACGAACAATACATGTACTAACAATTGCTTCACTTTCTGATGCCAATACTTCATTCCATCCTGGTGCGGTAATAATTTTACTTTTGACTTTTCCTTTGATTGAGATCGATCGATATTAATTGTATTTCTTTACATGTATTAGTCGAGAATCAAATCAAATCTTACCCTTTGACAATTTTTCCTCTTCTTCCTCTAATATTTTTGGATCGTTATTAGAAACATGACTTTTATATAGTAGATGGGACAATTAATTTCGTTTATCGATATTATTCAAAAAGAACGAAAGATGGTGGTATCGGTTCTTGTTACTTACCTCCCAAGCGGTGCAGCATACCATCGAGACATAGAAAAATTCTTCCGTTGAACAATAGTGACAACAGATTTTTTGTAGAGGTTATCAACAAGCGCTAAAGGGAGTTTCATTTTTGATTGTTTAGGGAGAGGTAGCAGGGTTCGAATAAATAAAAATTAAACAATGGTCGTGGGAAAATTTTTGTTGGCAAATTGGCCATTTTTTCAAACGATTTTGTCATTTGTCACTTGAAAGTTTAATAAAATAGATGTCATTTACGTAATGTCATTTCGATGTCGTTCTTATGACACTACGTGCATGTTGTTGTCCTGTTCAGTACTAATGCTAACATTTTTACTTAATACAGTTAATCGTAATACACATCGATTAGATAAATTCAGTATACAAGTACATAGAGTTCAGGGGTACTATGACCCGAAATTTTTATCATGTGATTTTATATAGCGATAGTTTTTAACGCTAACGATAAAGTAATTATAAATGTATGTATTGACGTTAACTTATAATTGAATAACATAAGGTAGCAAAGAACATTCTTATTTATAAAGAAATTGTTGGCGCTTAGGAGAAAGCAACGAGTAAATTTAACAGTTTTTAGAATGCAGAATTTTGACACTCGAACACGCAACTCAAAGTTATTTTGAGAAACATACATTTCATAATACGTCTATACGCAATATAAACTTAACACTAATGATTCAACGTAAAAAAACTAAAAGGTTGAACGTAAACAAACTCCAAACTAAGCTCTTTGAGGACTATTACTCGTCGTCGTCACTTTACCTATTCTCCGCATAGTAAATCCACCTCATTGTTTAAATTTTAGGTGCAAGGAACTAAAAAATATTGGAACTAGATAAAATTATCTCAAAATAAAAAATATTAATTTATATATAACATGAATTTTTTAAATTTAATCTCAAAGTTTTTTAATTGCAAAGTAAATTGATCAGAAAAATTAAAAAAATATCCAGATTCTTTCAGGAAAAAAATTAAAAACCTGTTCTTTTTTAAATATTCAAAAAAAAATATTTTTTATTTTTTTTAAATTCCAGAAATTCACTAGTAAACTTCTATCTTTTTGAAACAATTTTGCTATATTTCACGACTATATATAGAAATAATAAATTTATAATTATAGATAATTTTTAATGTTTTTCTAAAAAAATTAATTTTTAATATATTTCTTGATGTTTTTCTAAAAAAAAAAAAGTTAATTTATATAATTATCGATAATTTTTAATATATTCTTGATGTTTTTCTAAAAAAATTAATTTATTTACTAATATTTATTTTTATAATAAATATATAATTTGAAATATTTGTATTTTATTTTTTTCTTAATTAAATATAGTAAAATGTGAATTTTCTTTTATATAAAAGTTTTCAATTTTACTAATAAAGAATAATTGACTTTATATGCAATTATTATATTAAATTGAAAAAATATATGTTTAAATATATATTAATAGCTTAATTTTAAAGCAAAAAAATATTTATTAATAAAATTGAAAACTTTTATATAAAGAGAAAACCCGTATTTTACTATATTTAATTAATAAATTTTGGTGTTTTTGTATTATTTTTGATTGTTAGTAAAAAAGAGATAAATTAATTTTTTTCAAAAATAAGTTTTTGTATTCAATAAATTAATATAAATATATAGATTATTTTTTATATAATTGTAAATACTTATTTTTATAATAAAAAATCTCACAAATTCTTATTTTATATAGATTAATTAGTAATTAATAATTAGTAATTAAAAATTCAATTAGCAAAAAATTATAAATTTATTATTAGTTTTTTTCTACTGACTTTATTTCATATTTATTTATTTATTTATTTATTTATATAATTTATAATTTATTCCAATATATTTTTCTTATTAATAATTTATTATTTTTAATAAGATTAATATATTTTTTTATTTTTATTTATTAACTAATCTATTATATTTTCTAAATAAAATTAATAAAATTATAATTTTATTTTTATTTCAAATATAAATAAATATTAATAATTAGTTATTATAATATAATATTTATAAATTATATATACATATCTCTATATTATATTACTGAAAATTAAAAAAACTGACATTATTGCTTTATATTAAAATAACAAATTTTAATATAAAATAATAATATCAATTTTACTATATTTTACTATATTTTTTTTCAATTTTCAGTAATATAGTATAGAGATATATATAATTAAAAATATATTAATAATTAATTATAATATTAAATAAAAAGAATAATTATTTTATTATTTATTTTATTTATTAAAATTTTTCTTAATTTAATTTAATATTAATATTATTTATCTTTTTTTGATAGTAATTTATCGAACTTTAATTATAACTATTTTTTTTTGTTAAAATAATTAATTAATATTTATAAATAACAAATATATAGTGATTAACAAAATTATAAAATTATATATATAAATTTATTAATAAAATATAATAAAAATTGAAAGTTTTGTTTCATATAAAAGTTTTCAATTTTATTAATAAATATTTTTTAAAATTAAAATTATAAGTTATTATTTAATATATAACCAAATCTTATTATTATGATATAATCAAATTTCTTTATAGTCATTATTCTCAAAAAAGCTAAATTTGATAATTATAAAGGGGATATAATTATAAAGAGATTTTTTTATTATGTTTATATATAAATAGAAAAGCAAAATAGAGTAAATATAAAAAGATATAACTATAAATAAATATAATTATAAAGAAATTTAATTGTATTTCATTATTATAATATAATAATAAAATTTCATTATAATAATAAAAATATTTTTGAATTTTTTATAATATTATAATATAAAATATATAAATTTCTTTATTATAATAATAAGAACAAAATTTATTTAAAAACTAAATAATTATATAATAAAATAAATAATTATATAATAAAATAAATTTATTTGTTACATTTTATTTTGTTATAGATCACATAATTTTAGAATTATTACAATTTGATTGACTAAATATATTTAATACTTATAATATGATATTAACATAATTAATTATATTTAATTCTATAATTATTTATATAGATCATTAGTACATGTACTATTTTGCTTCACAAAATCAAATGGTTAAATAATTTATTAAAAAAGCAATATATATTCTTAAAATTTATTTTCTCCCAAAGTCTGATGTCAAAGATTTCAAAATCAGTACTTAAGTTGAGAAAAAGAACTTATTGAAATCAATAAAAAAAAACTCATCAATCATGATCACAGCATTCATCTTCTTTTTTGAATTTGCAAATTCTTTTTTAGTGAGCATTTAAAAATTATTTAACTTTCTATTTCAAGTCTTAGAAGTCAAAGTTATTAATGACTGCAAAAAAAGAATCAATGCAGGTAATTATTAATTTTCATTAGTGATTTGCATTTAACTTTTTTTTCTATAATATAATAATATTACTTATTATTTAATTGACTTTTCTCAGTCTGCGAGTTTTTTTAAATTTCTCAATAAACTTACTTGAAAAGTTTATTTTACAAGCAATGTTCAATAACTTTCAGCAATTTTTTTATTGCTATAGAATATTGTGTAGATACTAATAATAAAGTTTTGATAGATAAGTAAAGTTTCAATTCTATTGCTTTTTTAAATGTTATTTGTTATCTTCAGATTCTTTTGTAAGCTTTGATCTAGTTATAGAATAATACAAAAGATGAAAACAAAATATTTAAACAATATTTGAAATCAATGAAAGATGGTGATGCATTAAGACAACTTGATTTCTATTATTAAAATGGAAATTAAAACACAAAAAGATATATCATAATAATAATAAAACAAATTTTTAATATTAAAGTTTAACTGTAGTCATACTTTTTTTTCATTCTTTCCATCAGATAATTGTTGAAAGCAATTAACAATATTTGATTAATATCAATATTTATAGTTTCTCTAAGAACTGTGACAATATTGAATGCTACTATTGATTATTTACTCTTTTTCTAATTGATTGAATTATGTTTGTTATAATTATAGTAGTGATAGATTAGTTATTTGTTCAGGATGTAGGAGGATTTTAATTCTAGATATTGAATTAGATTTTGTTTTTTTTGTACTCTTTTGCTACTTCCTAATTGACTTGATCATATTTGTTATAGTTATAGTAGTGATTGATCAGAAATTTGTTTAGGATGTAGAAATAATATCTTGATCCAAATATTGATCAGGTTTTGATTTTTTTGTTCATATCTCCACCTAATTATTGTCATCCTCTATATATATTATATTGCTTCAACTAGAGAATCTTATTTTCCTTTTTTAATATTCATTAATAACTCTAAATACAGAGATCTTTCAGAATATTGTGAACACTTTTTAAAATACAATAACACAAAAACTAATAAAAAAGCAAGATTTATAATTCTAAGCTAA